CAAGCTTTTTCTAATTTCTCCCTGCATGGAGCAATTCTCCAGCAATTTTAAACGCAGCAGCAGGGGTGAGTCAGGCACATCTTGTCAAGGCTGCCCTATTTTTTATCTCTTTGGTTTTATTATAAATTGAATCCACGTGTCACAGGGCACAGCGCTGTTCCCAGCACGACTGGTGGCAAGAAATAGCTACCCAGGAATGGTATGTATTGTGTGGTAGCTGGGGAGAACTTCCTGTTCCCAATATCTCCAGCCTGTCTGGGGCTTGCTGCCTTGAAATTGTGGAACTTAATTAAAGGATGATTAGGCTGTGGAAATACCATTTTAGCCACTGATTAATTGAGTTTACTTGTGTTTGTCTCATTGTCTTCAGAAGTTGGTGAGGCCATAAATTTAGCAAGATGGAGTGTCTGAATCAGGTTTTTAAATGGGAAACAAGGCAACCTGATGTTGTAAGAATGGTGATGCTTCCCTGAGGGAGTAAAGGGCATTATGGTCCACACATAAACCAGTCCTGAGGTACTTGAGGGCAGGTTGAGTCCTGTGCAGGCAGACTGGGGTTCCTGCACCTCTTTGGAAAGTATCTGGTGTTGCTCTGGGTAAGAGAGGAGGTTAGGTGGCCCTTGGACTTCACTTCTCAAGATAGAGGCGTCGGAACACTCAGCCTAGCCTGGGGCTCTGCCCAGCTTTCTGTTGTGAGAGCACATCTCCCATCTATTCAACTTGGTTTAGCTCATCTCATGATGAGTCTTGATATTGTTTAATGCAGATTTGCACCCAGAGGACAACACTATAGCCTCAGTTGTTGCCAAACTTGCGGGTGGTGGAAGAGCTGTACTGGAACGTAAGCACCAGCCTGGGTGTAGAATAATAATTAGGGCTGCTACCCATAGCTGTCCCCCCAGTTACTTGTCTTCAAAGCTCCAATTGTCCTATGAATGAAGCAACTTTCATTTGAATTAATTTCAAAGTAGAGGGTGTTTGAAGGAGTAAAACACTGTGGCTGTTTGTGCCGCAGTGAGATCACCGCAACTTGGGGTTGCTTTCTTGCGTGTGCCCTCAAGCCAGTGCTCAGGTCTGGCTTCCACCTATGGGATGGTACAGCAGCTCCAGCCCAGACCTGGGCTGCCAGGGCAGGAGTGAGGAGCACAGTTATGGCCACTGCAGCTTGGAGTGGGACCGTGCAAGAGCTGGGTTTACAGCTCTCTTGTGCTGGGTGAGGTCATGTTGGGGGTACAAGAAAATAGACCAGTGTCCCAGTATGAATCAGCCATCCCTTTACATAGAGCCACTGCTTCTCCAGTGGTACCAGGCAGTCCTGCAGGGTGGTGGGTGCAGGGATAAAGGACTGACTTTCCTCTTGTGACAGGAGCGTTTATGCTGGGCAGTTGTGGCTGGCTACTGTTTGTGAGAAAAGAACAAGGCTCCAGAGTTGGACTGAAGAGCTTCCCTGCTGTTTCTTGGTTTGGAGGGCCAGGCTGTATCCCTGGGACTTGAGAAGACAGGGCTACAAACAACAGTTTCCTGATTTGGTGTCTTTTCACATTTGGCACTGCAATTCTCTTGCGTTGTAAAGGATTTTTGCTAGGCTATTATATGATTCACTGCTGGCTTCCTGTTCCGTCTCTTTTAAGCTGAATTTCATGATGACATACAGTTGTGCTTTGGTTGTGCTACTACCTGCCAGAGGCTTTGAATGTGGTGGCCATGCTTCACTTCAATGAAAAGCTCAAAGAACAGTAAAGCTTTTAAATGTCCCTGGAAATCTCTGAAACCACACAGCCAGTGGTCAGAGCCCTTACAATACACTGACCAAGAGGGAGGCTGTAGCAGACTCAAACCATAGCAGCCATGAGGGAAAAAAACAACCCCAAACACGGAGAAACTAATTTTCAAAATCCTAAATCCATGCTGGAGCAGGTTTCCTTAGGTCTGTTGTTGAGGGAGTTCCCTGCATGGCACAGGAAACAAAATTGCTCACAGATTAGAAACCAAAGGAGTGAAAGAACGTGTCTGGATCGCCCACAGCTATTTGCCAGTAGTGCCAGGTGGACAAAGGTTAAACATTAATTTCTATCTAGTATCTTGTCCCTTTTTTTCACTGGCCCAGTGCTAGTTCAGTACACTATCTGGAGGGTGATACAGCACACAGAGCACGGGGGGGAAAGGTGCTTTTGGGGGAGGATGTAGTGTGAACATCCACCTTTGTGGAGGGATATCCTGCCAGGCCAGGGCTGCTGTTGCCAGTTAGACCAAATGCCACTGAGCGTGCACTGCTGCAGAGTCCACCTCAGGGCAGGTGGCAAGCATGGGCAGGAGGATTTGGCCTCGGCAGCCACGGCTCATTCCTGTGTGGAGTTACCCTGCTGCAGTCCATGCCATCCATTATGGACGGTGGTACCTTCAGACAGATGAGAAGATGAGGGCTCAGGCAGTGTTACAACTCCTGCCCGAGGATTCTCCAAGCCCATCAGTATGAGTCACTGCTTATTTACCAAACACACACAAAACGCATGGTATCAATACTGAGTAACACTTACTCGCAGATGTTTGGACATCAGGCTGTTTGCAGAGCAGAGTAGTTGCACAATCTGTGTATGTAGTCACCCACTCCTAAGAAAACCAGATATCTCAGCCTGTCCACCTAACCGATTGCTTTAGCCCAATGACCTCACTTGCTTTTACTATGTAGAGGATTTGATTTTCCTACTGCAAAGGTCATTTAGCATCCATGCCCTTAGTATCATCTTTCCACTTCCTCTACTGCATAAAAGCATTAGGCCAAAAGCTGTAAGAGCATCACGTCTGCACAGCTGCACTTCACTTGGGAAGGGATAATCTAAAAGATATGTTTAACTTGAACCAATTTAATGAGTTTACTAATGATGTTTTTTTTTAATGTTAAAGCCTTTTCCCTATGGTCTAAGCCCAGAGCAACCACTGTGAGTGCTCATATCATCAGCAGAGCTCAGACCAACCACAGCTCAGAGCAGGGGCAGTGTTCGGTCCTGTATCACACTGAACAAGGGCATTCACCTATGCAAGAGCTTGTGGTGTGTTGGCACTGGGAACCTTTAGCTTATAATTATGTCATCTGGAGATGAGTTACAGGTACGTTGTCACAGCAGCAAGGACTTGTTCCTGTACCTGTGCAAGAAACATGTATAAAGCCGTTAACAGTCAAATCATGCTTTTGCTGTTTGATTGAAGTTAGAAGAACAGGGTATCCCGCTCCAGAGGTGTTGCAGAAAATTTGCTCTAGCATAGTCCTGAGCTAAGATAACAGACAACAGGGAGGTGGAAGTGGTTGTTGGGCTAGAACAAGAGAGCTGGGAGTCCTTGTTTATAATCAGTGTAAATAAGCCACGAGGGAAGATTCTCAGACTGGGTCATTTTTTGCCATGACACCAATGATTGCAACATCAGTGTGACTAATGCCATGCATGGGATTTATCTGAGACGTCTGTTTTGTCCGAGGTTAGACTGTTGACACAGTGTGTTGTAATACTTGTAATTACAAACAAGCAGCAGAGCAGCCCTCTGTGGAGGTGTCTGCCCTCTTTGGAGATGGTGGCCTGTCTTCTGCTCAGGCTCATAAGAAACAGAAGGAAGAACTAAACACAGGAGATGCTTTGAGGAACAAGCCTATAAAATCTCACACCACCAGGTGAGGAAGCTTTGTTTTGTGCAAATGAAATTGAGCCTCAAATACCTAAGTCTTGGTTGACTGTATGTGACAGAAGTCAGACCAAACATCCACCCAGCTAGCAGCAGACACTAAGGGAAAATCCTGGTGGGCGCTATGTTCCTGGCAATCCCCTGAGCCAGAGGATACAGCTCAGGAGATAAAAGTGCTGGTGAGCCCATTGTGCCTTTATGAACTTGCTTGGCTGAGATCCAGAGCTTGGCAATGAGTTAGACAGTTCTGTATCATTTGGAAATGAACTTCCTTCAGAGAAATCAGCATTGTGTGTTCAATGTCAGCTGCACTTTCCTGCCCTCTGAACATTAGGATAGCATATCACACTGTCATAAAACTTGCTGGTCTTTACAGCTCACAGTTTGAAAAGCATAAGGTTTCATTTTGGCTAAGTATTCTGTAACATCAACAGGCTGCATTTCTGACATCTTTTGCCCTGGTGTAAGTATTTATGGTAACTGTATTATGCTGGAGGGTTTTTTTGCTGAAGGTCAGGGCAGTTGCAGATAAAACAGCCCATCCCTCCCAGTTCTGATTAGAGAAACCACCTCTGGAGGGAATCTGAATTTAGTAACTAAGGTATAACACAGATCACTACTGCTACCACCAATGATAATAATGATAAAGGAAATAACAAGGGAAGAGAATACATCATGACAGCCCGACCAAGCTCTGACCGAACTACCTCCTGGGCAACGTGCTGTGGTAGGAATACCTCTTTGGTCTTTGGGTCAGGTGTCCCCTGGCTCTGCCAACCCTGACTGTCCAAAAGGTTGACTTAGCAAGTGAGGTGCTTCCCCTCTGCCTTAGTTTGGGTCAGGTGTCCTGTCTCTCTGCTTCCTCCTGGCTTCCCCTCCTCCCTGGCAAGTCCTCCTGGCCAAACCTAAACATCACTATCAGCTCTGTTCCCAGTTATAAGCCCTTGTGGTCCACCTAGGTTTGTGATAAGGACTGTCCTGCATGGCAAAAACACTGGGTGCTCTTAGCATGCATTTCTCCTACGCCCTGAAATCACAGTCTCTCTTCAGGTGAATATAAAATACTAAAAACGGTGTAATAAAAATATCAGGAGTTGGAAATAACTGTCCTGGTACCTCAGCTCTCCTTAGCACAGTATTCAGCCACTGCAGAGTCTGTGCTTTGCAGAGGTACTGTCTTCTGTGAATGAAGCACTTGGCTTGAATCAGTGCTTGGCCATTCTCCAGCACCTGGTTCAGTGTGGCGCTTCCAGGGAAGCCGCTCACACAGGAGAAGTTTCAGTGGATCACTTCCTCATTCTGCTCTTCTGCTTCTACTTGCATAGGCTAAAAGTTACCCTGAGCTTGAAAACTCAGCAGCAGCCACGTGGCCCTTGAACTGGTATAACTATGAATGCAGCTATGGTGGAGGCTGTGGAGCCTGCTCGCATCGCTGCTCCTTCTGTGCAGTGGGGGGTATTCAGGAAACCAAGCAACCCTCGAGGAGCAGTAGAGTGTGATATTCCCCCTTTCTCCTCATGGCTGCCTGAAACATCCCAAAGCAAAGCAGGTACTTTCCATTCAGCTGGGATATTAGGCTGTGTAGATTAAACACGTATGTATTCAGCAGGCTGAGTAGGAGGGTTTTGTGTATGTCTCTCTTTAGGCTGGCCAGGACTTTGTCATATTCTGCCTCCCCTTCCCAGATGCTTCCTTCTGTGCTTCAATAAAGTGGGATATGGCATCACTTTTGGTTTTGTCTTTGGAAGAGTCAACGAATGAGAAGAGCAAAAGCCAGCTATGTAGAACACATTCCTCTGCTGTGACTGCGAAAAAGTCTCTACTTCAGATACAGGCATCCGCTGTTTGCATTGCTCATCTTCCTGGCAGGGGTTATGGGCTCTGTCTGCCTCACTTGATTCAAGCCTGACCTTTCTGATCTTTCTATTTTTGAGATACTGGATATCCTGTCCCTTCCTCCCACAGATCCTGGATTCCAGCTGCTTCTCATGTCTCCAAGAGTTGTAACGGGTCAAGGTACAGTGATAGACAAGAATGCTTTTGTTCTTGACAGGACTTGGTTTATCCACCAGGTGCATTGCAGACCGGGCATTGTGCTGAAAGGCACAGGCAGAGGAATGTGTCCTCCAAGAGGGAGTAAACCTGACCAAGAAATGCAGGGCTGGGTGATCTGTGGTGGCAAATAGATTCTTCTGAGAATGCCTGAGGTACTGCAGTGGCTTCCCCTACGCCTCAGGATGACGCAGAGCAGAACATCTCGAACTCGCTGCAGCACCTCTCTTCTTTTGACTTGTCCATCTTCCTGGACCAGCTCCTTTCTTTCCCTTTCTGCTTTTGCAAGAGAGACTGGAAGGAGTCACTTCCTGGAGGTAGAGAGGGGAGAGGTGGCTGTGATCACTGGGCCCTGGCTCTCCACCCCAAAGCTTCTTGCTCCTTGGCTTGTGTTGATGCCTGGTGAGTTTCACCCTTGGAGCAAGCCTAAATCGCTGAGGATTTTCCAGAGATAAGTGTAAGCCAAAAGGTGAATATGGGCATTCTCAAGGGTCAGAATGTGTGAGGAACTGACTTGTTAGCTCAATCTGTGTTTTGGGTGGGGAATTCACATCCATTTGCAAAGGTCTGAAGCTAGACAGTGAAATCCCCTCTGCTCCTTCCATTTCCCAGCACTTAATGCAGCATTAAAGCTCTGTTACAGCGTTTTGAAGGACGCATGTTTAGATATAAACCATTCTATAGAGGAAATAGTGTACCGTAAGGTTTGTGCTGCTAGAAAATTTCCCTCTGTTGACAGGCTCTTCATTAACTGGCATCATAGCAGCAAGCCTGCTGTTTCCAAACTTAGCCAAGGCTTAGAACAGTTTGTTAGGGAACAGTAACCTGGGACTCTAACAAGGTGAGCTCAGGGGTTGTTCTGGGCTATCAGCTATCTGCTGGGCCTTTGTCACCTTTGAAATAGCCTCCCGTTACAGAGCTCACAAACTGCTGCCTCACACTGGGCTGTAAGAGAGAGAAGCAGGAGCTCAGATACTGGGTACCATAGATGGATTCTCTGCATTGATCCTGCTGGCATGAAGAGGATTTATGCCACACAAAGGCTTGCTGCAACATGTTTCAACAAGGGAAACCCTTTCCCCTTGCTTGGCAGAAGTATTCATACCCCTTTGGAAAAGTTAGCTTGCTTCCAGGGAAGCTTTTCCAGTTCAAGGACAGATCTTGGGGCATATGAGTCTTTGATCCCAAATCTTTAAATGCTGGCCTGAAGGACTTTTATCAGTATGTGGCAGTGCCTGGAGCATTGGGTCAGTGCAGTTTATGTCAAACACGTAAAGCTGGCTCAGGCAAAACTTGCCACTTCTCTGAATCCAGAGAGGGTATTTCAGGGCAAATTTCTTCTTGTACCCCTTTCCCTTTCTCATCAAATGCAAGAAACAGAAGTGAAAATGTCTTCCTCCCATGCAACTCCTCCAGGGCTAGAGAAGCCAAAGGATGAAAGGCACAATGCAGCCAGTGCCGGGGAGGGAGCACACCAGAAGGCTGGAGCACATCCCAGTACCACATGGCTGCAGCACAAGGGTGTCTGGTCGCTGTGACAAAGGTTATGACAACACGTATCAGGCACAGCTTGACTGTCCTGGTGTGCTGGGCTGAGCTGTATGCTGGGCTCCTCCAAAAGTGGATTTGTGCTGAAAACAGTGCTGATGACACAGGATGTTTTCACTGCTGCTGACAAGTGCTTACACAGCATCAAGGCCTTTCCTGTTCCTCACCACCAGCGAGTAGACTGGGTGTGCACAAGAAGCCAGGAGGGGACACGGCTGGGACAGCTGACCCCAACTGGCCCAAGGGATACCCCATACTGTATGATGTTATGCTCAGTATCTAAAGCTGGGGGAAGAAGAAGGAAGGGGGGGGATGTTTGGAGTGGTGGCGTTTGTCTTTGCAAGCAACCATTATGTGTGATGGAGCCTGGCTTTCCTGGAGATGGCTGAACACAGTCTGTGTTCATGGGAACAGGCTGTCCATGGGTAATGGGGAATGAATTCCATATTTTGCATTGCTTGTGCCAGAGGCTTTTGTTTTAGCTGTTGAACTGTCTGTATCTCAACCCATGAGTTTTCTCACTTTTACCCTTCTGATTCTCTCCACCATCCCCCCAGTGGGGAGTGAGTGAGTGAGTGTGGGGCTGAGCTGCCGCTGAGGTTAAACCAAGGCACCTTTAAAGAAGAAGCTCTTGACCCTGTAGGGAGGGGGTTGATTCAAAATGTTTACAGAGCAAAACTGACCTTGTTGCTTTCATTCCTGCATTTGGAACAGCAAAGAAAAGCAGAGGAACCAAAGCAAGGAAGGGGGATTGCGCACCTCCTGTTTCTTTCATTTCCTTTGCACAATTCTCATAGTGTTTTACTTCTAATTGATCCTACAGAGCAGCCCCTGGGAGACTGGAAATCTGGGAGAGGAGCATCGCCTGTTCCCTCACAGAAGCAGTGCTCTTCAACTCACTGAGCCTTTCTCTATCTAGAGACGAAATGGGCAGCAAACGGGAAGAGAATTCTGTTTTCTTGCATTCATTCAGCTTGGGAAACAGACTTCCCCAGACTGCTGGACAGCCCAGAGGGAAATCAAGGGGACCAGAAGGGACCTCATCAGGGTACCGCACAGAGAAGGGTGAAGCAATGTCTGGCTGAGGAAGGATCCCTCCATGCCAGCACTAAGGGCACTGGCTGCACCCCCACCCTTGCTGGTCCTCATTCTGCCAAAGCTTGTGAAGCCAGAGCTCAAGAGCCACCGGCACAGCAAAGACCACAAGGGCATTTCTGCAGGTGCCAGAGGTGCCCAGCTGGAAAGCTTCCCAAATCGGCACCGGGATGTGCCACGCTGCAGCTGTCCATGCTCCTCCCTGCGGACCCACTGCTGGCTGCAAGCGGACACAGCACAGTCCTCTCCCTGCCTACAGCCCTTCAAGAGAGCTTCATGGACTGCTGGGCTCTGGAGTCCCACCAGCGGTGGCTCTGCAGGGAAAAGCAGCAAGGGCTCTTCAGCCACGTCTCCCCTTGCCGCTCCCTTCTGCCAGGTCATGAATGCCACACTGCGATGTCACTGCCTTGCAGCCAGGGCACCACAGTGGTGTTTGAGAATGTCCCCTGGGAACCTGCAGTTGGCACCACTTGGTGCAGTCAACCCTCGGCTGGTGTGTGACAGGACGAGTCCTGGCTCGCCAGAGCAACGGCTGCAGAAGTCAAGCCCAAATGAGAGCAGAGTTTCACCAGCATCTCCAGTTGTCCCGTCCTCTTTGGACAGTGAAAAACACTGTTCCATAGCTCTGCACCTTTAACATTCCCACTTGTCACTTAGTGCTCTTAAGTAAGATAGACGTTCCAGCACGTGTCATGGTAGCACCAAGAGGTCAGCAAAGGCTGAGCTCCTGTTGGCACTACACAGAAGAGCAGCCAGACACCGCTTTCTCTCTCTGAGGATGAGATGTTGGAAGAGAAATCGATCCATGCAGCCGATCAGTGGTGGGCAGTGGGCTGCACTGACTCTCCAGTTCTGTGTGCCTCCAACTGGCTGGGAAATACAAAGTACTGCTGTGCCCTCAGGCAGTCAAATTCACTGCAGAAAGGCCTAGCTTTAGTAATTCTACAAGCTGTTCAGGGAGGAGAGGGAAGCTGCCAGGGGAGATGGTTAAGTGGATGCCACAGAATTAGTGCTGGTTGAAACCAGGGCCGCTCTGACTTTCTGCAAACAGATGTATCTTTCCGTTCAGCATGCAAAGGCAGCAAATGCAACAGATACAAGTTTTGTTCTGTGGTGTGCCCTCGTCACGTTGATCTGCTCTTCCTCTCTGCAGGAATTGTGTGGAAAGGAGAGCAGACGGCCACCCTGCATCTTCAGGAGGTGCAAGGCCACTGGGAGTGCAAAGCTTTAGAAGGACCAGAGGATTGCGTGCTTCCCTGTGCTGACCAAACTTGGTGCTTTTGTGTGCTTTGGTGCAACTAGAAAGGTCAGTGTCCTGCTGCCCACTCTGTTAAGTGTGGATCCTTTTGGCTCCTCCCATGTAACACTGTGTGGAAAATCAACACCCTTCAGTAGGGGCAGACCGATACCCTTCTCTAATGCACAGAGTGAGGGCCCAAACTGCATATTTTGAGATAAAGATTTTTAACAAGATTATAGACTTAAACGTTAAGGCCAAACGTGGCCCAGCCAAATGATCAGTACTGTTTGGGAAGCAGCCTAATGGAGAGAGAGGAAGAACCCAAAGCTCACTCCTTTGGCACTGTTGTGGTTCATTAGATGGCTGGTGCTGGACTGTACAGCATCACCCGCCCCAGCCAGGCCTGCCCCTGCCCCAGTGCCTGTGTGGCAATGCCCCTGCCACGCACATGGCCCCAAAGGTCTCAGCTTCACTCCAGTGAACCCAGTTAGTGCTTTCTAGTACCAGCCTTTGTGCACTTTGGGTTCTGGGTTGACGCAATGCTGAGTTCAGTGAAGTCTGAACTCCACTCACCCCTGCAGGCAACAGCAGAGAAAGTTCAGTCCCTGAAAGCAGCCACCTGTCCTCACCCAGCAGGATCAGCAGAGCTGGAGCCAATGGTACTGAGCTATTTTAAAGGTGGGTTTGATCCACATTCATGTAACAGATTTGAAGAACTTACAGTGGCTTAAGACACTAGAACCAACATAAGGGGCCAACTTTGCAGATGCCCAGAAAGCTGCTGGTGGGATTCTGGCTGGATTTAGCTTGCCAGGACTTCTCACTACTGGATTGTTCTCCTCTTTTAGGAAACTGTAGGCATGTATGAGCTCCCTTCCCTCCACTTCTCTTGGATGGCTGAAGAACTGTATGGTTTCACACAGGCTGTGTATTCCTCTGGTGTTCCAGGATATGTACCAGTGTCATTATGTCTGTCCCCTTGTCACCCTTCCCCTCACCGCTTCAGCTATACGGATGATCAGTGAAACCAGTACAAACACCTGCAAAGCCAAGGCAGCAAATAAAACATGGCATTGCAATGACCAGGGCTCTTTCTGGCTCAGTGCCTAGGAAATGCTTCAGATCTGACAAACAGATTTTCTCTTTGTGGCCCCAGCAGCTCCAGTGCCGGGGTTCTGCCAACCCTTTGCTTTCCCCCAGCCCCGTCAGCTTTTTCCAGTCGTTGCTATTATCAGCTGATGTCACCTTCCTCCCTTTTTCAAGGCTCTGATAATGAACATCTAGGACAGCCAGGTGACCTTTGACTGAGCTTCCTTTTTAAACTCATGTGGCTTTTGCTCCATTGCCTAGTTGTTACCCAGCAGTTAAGATCTGTTCTGATAGCAGCAGAGTCTGCTCCCCTTTCCTTTCCCCTCTTACTCACACAGGATCAAAGCTCTCTCTCTCTGAATTTGCTTGAACAAATTTCCATTTAGGTCAGTGACAGATTTACTTGACGAAAAGATTTTTTCCCTATCTTTTTCTTATCTCTGTAAGAAAGGATAACAAGCACAAAGGCAGGCGGGAGAAAAAAACTTGTGTACTATAAATAAAAGAGTTTGGCACAGATGGGAAGACAAAGTCATTAGTAAGAGACAAAATCACTGTGGCAGCAAACTACATCTTCAGCTGATGTAAAGCAGCATCTCCCCATGGAAGTCATGGGACCGCGTAGCTGCCATCAGCTGAGCTCCTTGGTGGACCTGGTGCCCTCTGCAGTGCCTAAACTGCAGCTACCTCCTTCCACAGCAGCAACGAGGACAATGTAGTCCAGAGACGTGCTCTGGTCTATGTTGATCTTCACCTGCAACTTCTGGCTTCTTGCAGCTGTCTGTGTAGGCTTTCTAATCCCTGCTGTGTTCTCTGGATGCAAAGTGGCAATAACAGGGTGGCTGTCCCATTCCAGCCATTTGGGGTGATTATGCCAAAGTATTGCAGGGCTGGTTGCTCAAGGCCTCTGCCTCCCTCTCTAGGGCGTACTGGGATGGTACACAAAATAGCTGTAGAACACCCATGCTGGGATCATGGTGGTCATGGAGACAGGGTGACCTTCTTCAGAGAGTGCTGCTAGTGATGGGAGACCTGGGTGCAGTTGCTGGCTCCGTCTTAGTTTGTGCGCATTGCCTTGAGCAAGCCCACATCTCTTGCTGCTTCCTCTGTAGATGACAAATACTTCGTCCTACCACTGGTTTTGCTGAGCACCTCGGCTTTTTCTGGAACACAGCCTTACTGTGGCTTTCTGAAGCCTGGTACCTCGTGCCCCTGGTGGTATTTCTTAAAACTGCAGAATTCTGGACAGAAACCCGTGTGCTCAGCAGTTTAAAGATTAACAACACATGTGAGAACTGGGGTTTGCGATACACAAGTGGGAAACACTCAGTTTACTTGCTAGATCACTCTAGCAAGAAGCTCAGGGCTTTCTGAATTGGGCCTGAAGTCAAAGGTTAGCTGTAATTTCACGCAAGGACAACCCACCTGAATTGTGGGTGGGTCTAATGCTGTGCACTAGCTTTGGTGCTGCTCAGCATGACTGAGTGCTGCCTTGCAGTGCAGGAACTGCAGGGCTGGCAATGCAAGGCTCTGTTATTATAACAGAGGTGGCAGGTGCTGGAGCTTTTTGGCCTCTTCCTGATTCACGGTCAAACAAATGACCCCAGGGGAGGAGTTGCTGAGAATTACTATATAATGTCCAGGAGTTGTAGAATCATGGAATACCAGGTCAGAAGGGATCAAAAGGATCATCTGGGCCAACCTGCCTTAGCAAAGCATGACCTAGGCTAGGCATCCCAGCGGCCTGTCCAGCCAGATCTTAAGAGTGTCCATTTCTGGAGAGTTCACCACTTCCCCGGGGAGATTATCCCAATGACTGATTGTTCTCATTGTGAAGAGCTTTTCCTCTAGTGTCCAAGTGGAGTACTTGTGCTCATCACACCACGTCTTTTCCATGTGACTCCTTGTAAAAAGGGAGCCTCTATTTTCTTCGTGGCCACTCTTTAAAATACTGGGACATGGTGGCAACGTCTCCCCTGACCTTTCTTTTCTCAAGGCTGAACAAACTCAGCTCTCTCAGCCTCTCCTCAGCAGGCTTCCCAGTCCTTGGATCATCTCTGTGGCCCTTCTCTGGACCCTCTCCAGCCTGTTCACATCTTGTGCAGTGGGGACAAAACTGAACACCATATTCCAGGTGTGACCCGACAAGCACCGAGTGGGATGATGACTTCATCTCTGCTGGTGATGCCCTCGTTTAATGTAACTCAGCACCCTGCTGGGTTGCTTTGCCACAGCAGCACACCGCTCACTCACACTGAGCAGCCCGGTTTGGCACGATTCATCTTTAATGAGATCATGCTGTGTTTGATCGATTCTCCTGCTCATTTCCGTATCTTCAGAGCACTGAAGGCTGGAGGAGGCCTCAGCCTGCCCCCAGGTGGTCATCCGAAGGAAAGCAGGAGCCACGCTCCCGGCGCGGCTGGCTCTGCCATGCTGCCTGCGGCACAGTGCCAACACGTGCCCCCAGGTCCTCCCCGGCGGGGGCGCTGGGAGGGGGCTGGCTTACCAGGAGGGATGGGAAAATCCCGTCCTGGCCAAACCCGGCCAGGCAATGCCATAAAGCCATTCGGATGCTGGGACGGAGCCTGGCCTGCGCTGCCCCGGCGGAACTGGGCTCTCTCAGGACCCCGTCCTCTCCAGCCGAGGACCTGATGTGTGCCTGTTGCTCCTGAGGGCCCCTCTTCCTCCAAAGAACTTGGCGTGAAAGTTCTTCTAATTCTGTTGGCCTTTGCTCGGGCCTGCTGCAGGTGTGAACGTCCTGCCCGCGGGCTGCTGGTGTTAGGCAGTGGCACCCCCAGGCTGAGGACTTGGCAAGGGAAGCAGCCACCCGTGGCTGCTGCTGGTGCATCACCTGGAAGGTGGGCTGGGGGCTTTTTTGGGTGGTGGAATCCTTTGATAAAAACAAATGTTCCCATTTCCTGCTTTAATAAGTGCGATCGCCACCACAACAGCTTTCTGTCTTTGTGTTTCTCTAAAATGGGTTGTAACCTGGCTTCTGCAGCATCTCGGGCATGTTTAGCGTCTTCTTTGTGTTCTGGTTTATTTCTGTGCAGAGGAATTAAAAATACCAAAACTAACTGTCAAATGCCAGAGAATTTAATGAGAAACAGTTTGGGCAATGCTGAAAACTGCTTCAGATGTAGATCCAAGATCCGTAGCTATGTGGGCAGAAAGGCCATGTCTGAGGGAGGAACATGGCTTTTCATACCCAGAACTCAAAGGGCAGGAGGTAATGGACAGCTGCTTATGCATGTGTGAGGTGCCCCAGCCAAATCATTGCACCCCAGATTTGCCTTTACATTGGGATCTTACACCTTTCAGGTGTTCAGGTACAACACGATTTCGCTGATCACCGTACCACAGGAAGACTTGGCAAAGCAACTCTTATTTCTGCAGCGTCCCTTCTGCTTGTTTATTGATCCAACCGCCCCTGGAGTTTGTCTGGCTGGAGTGCTTTGCACATGATGCTGGGAGGGTTTCAATGGTGTATCAGAGGCACCTCAACACTGCTGTTCTCTTTGGGGTGCCCTTCATCCCTCACAGACCACGCTAAGCTTCTGCTGTCCTTTGTTTTACTCAAGTACAAACAAGATGGAAGTTTCTCATAACATTTCATCTCCTCTTTACTTACATTCATAGAATCATAGAACAGTCAGGGTTGGAAAGGACCTTAAGATCATCCAGTTCCAACCCCCCTGCCTTGGGCAGGGACACCTCACACTAAACCATCTCACCCAAGGCTCTGTCCAACCTGGCCTTGAACACTGCCAGGGATGGAGCATTCACAACCTCCCTGGGCAACCCATTCCAGTGCCTCACCACCCTCACAGGAAAGAATTTCCTCCTTAGATCCAATCTAAACTTCCCCTGTTTAAGTTTGAACCCGTTACCCCTTGTCCTGTCACTACAGTCCCTAATGAAGAGTCCCTCCCCAGCATCCCTATAGGCCCCCTTCAGATACTGGAAGCTGCTATGAGGTCTCCACGCAGCCTTCTCTTCTCCAGGCTGAACAGCTCCAACTTTCTCAGCCTGTCTCCATACAGGAGGTGCTCCAGCCCCTGATCATCCTCGTGGCCTCCTCTGGACTTGTTCCAACAGTTCCATGTCCTTTTTATGTTGAGGACACCAGAACTGCACACAATGCTCCAGGTGAGGTCTCACAGGAGCAGAGCAGAGGGGCAGGATCACCTCCTTCGCCCTGCTGGTCACGCTCCTTTTGATGCAGCCCAGGATACGGTTGCTTTCTGGGCTGCGAGCTCACACTGAAGCCGGCTCATGTTCATTTTCTCATCAACCAACACCCCCAAGTCCTTCTCCTTGGGCTGCTCTGAATCTCTTCTCTGCCCAACC